AGGCTTTTACCCACAGCGCCACCCACGTCCCTTATACAGGGGATAGTATCTGGTTAATGTGGTTCCTGGAAGATTGTGGGTGGGCTGAGGCATAGACGCTGGGGAAATGAGGCAAAAGTGGCCTTGTTAATCTGACCTACTCTGGTCTACCACTGTAAAAAGGCCAATGTGGTGGTTGTTGTTGGTTGGTGTGTTTGTTTCTCATTTTCTTACTCTTCCTGGAATTGGTTGGGGACAAACGGGACTAAATCCCTGTCCAATATACACTGGACCACCAAGTCAGTACCTCTTGCCTCAATTTCTGATAACTGACTACCTGTGGACCTACGTAGGGCAGGTGGGCTTAGCCTCAGAGTTATATGCTTTGAATTGCTGAACATGAGGCTGCCTTTGAAGGCGGTTTGTAAAGTTGAGTTGGTACAGAATGCAGCAACTAGAAAACTTGGGGGAATACTCATGTACAGTGGTACCTCGGGTTAAGTATTTAATTCGTTCCGGAGGTCCGTTCTTAACCTGAAACTGTTCTTAACCTGAAGCACTACTTTAGCTAATGGGGCCTCCTGCTGCCACCGCACCGCTGGAGCACGATTTCTGTTCTTATCCTGAAGCAAAGTTCTTAACCCGAGGTACTATTTCTGGGTTAGCGGAGTTTGTAACCTGAAGCGTATGTAACCCGAGGTACCACTGTACTGCTTATATTAACTGCCTAGGTATTTCTACCCCAATTTCGGATGCTGATCTTGACCTCTCAAACCATGCACTTTACAGTCGGCGTGGCATAGTTGGGTAGTGTATTGGACTAAAACCCGGGAGACAGGGTTCAAATCACTACTTAGCTCATTGGATGAACTGTCTTTCAGTTTCTTGATAGTTTTATTTCTCTGACAAAAGGCCTTTTTCCTCTCTCATTCTCAGGACACTTTTCATTTTTCTTTTTTTTTCTTTTTTACATCTTCATAATTTGGCTATGTGTGTGGGGCTTACCTCCTCAATTCAAAGTGGCTGAGGGTGGTAGTGTGTTTCTTTCCATTTAGTCTTACTGTAAAGGCCTTCAGTAACTTGAGTAGGGGGGAAATGAATTGAAGGACTGTGGATTTAGACTTGGGCATGAGAAAGAATCATAGTCATATTTTTATGTTTTTTTTAATATAAAAGAATTCTTAGAATTTATGCATAAGACTCTTCCAGTTATCTCTTCCTGCCTTCAACATGTGCTAGGAGGCATGGCACAATGGGAAGTGAGATTAACTAGCTCTCTGTAAGTTGTAGCATCCTGCACAATAATAGCACAATCACTTTCTGTGCACTGGATGTCCCTTGGGTGCTCGCTTTGCATGCAAAACGTTCTCACCAAGTTAATTAAATGAAGTGCTCTTCAGATTTGTCAAATCTTGATGAGTGAAAATGCTTAATTTTTTTTTTAATAAAGCATTTAAGTAATGTTTTAATCAGCTGGAGTTTACAGCTTTTGTTTTAATAGTGCCTGGCTGGAAAAGATCAATGGTTATTTTATTCTGTAAAATCTTTACTGGATGGCATAATAAGCATCAGTCTTAAAATCTGCAGTTTAAATATGGATGGTGGTTATTAACCTGTTCTTTAAAAGCTGCAATTAGTCAAAAGCAACCGCTTAAAGAAATGACTTAATTACTCCAAGCAGAAAGGTTAAAAGAGTAAAAACTGGGGTGGGGGTGAGTGGGAAACCACAATGTAGTTGTTGCTGAGACAAGCATATGCACAGTCTATTTTTTATTTTTGTAAAAAAAAACAAAGCAAAAAAGCGGATGTTCTTTATGCTTTACAGTTTAATTTGTATAAATATAATTGTTTGTGGACTATAAATGTCCAGAGACTGCACAGAAATAGCTTAGGTGGCCACAGTTCCAGCTTGAACAGGGGTTGGTGGCAAGTCATTCAGGACCCTTCATATATACCAATTTCTCTGTGGCCGGGGGCAGTGGCGTAGCATGGGTTGTCAGCACCCAGGGCAAGGCAAGTAATTTGCGCCCCCTAACCCGTGGATTTTAGCACTCGAGTGCGAGCGAGCGCCCCCCAGATGTTGTGCCCGGTGCGGCCGGCCCCCCTGCACCCCCCACGCTACGCCACTGGCCAGGGGAGGCCCAGGTTAAACGGGATACCATTCAGAAAACCTCTTTCATTGCATTCAGATGATTGTGCAAAACTCCAGGACTTCTCACTCTTGCTCATTTCACACAGGAAGTCCTTATTTTGTGACAGATGCTAATATAAGAATATAAGAGCTAGCTGGATCATGCTGTTTTCGCAGTGGCTGAACTTGCCCCTCTGTTTCAGGAGTGGCTTGTCAAAAGACGGGGTGGCATGTTTTCTGATTCTAAAGTTAAACTATACAGTGGTACCTTGGGTTAAGTACTTAATTCATTCCGGAGGTCCGTTCTTAACCTGAAACTGTTCTTAACCTGAAGCACCACTTTAGCTAATGGGGCCTCCTGCTGCTGTCACGCCACCAGAGTACGATTTCTGTTCTCATCCTGAAGCAAAGTTCTTAACCTGAGGTAATATTTCTGGGTTAGCGGAGTCTGTAACCTGAAGCATATGTAACCTGAAGCGTATATAACCTGAGGTACCACTGTACTTGAGATGCTCACTGCATTGTCCTCTGGTTTAGGGCTTATGTGACATCAAGGCCCTTTCAGCAGAAACCCTAAGTCCCAAAATCAAGCACACGGACTTTGGAGTTCTAATAAATAGCAAAGTAGATCCTGCAAGCCCAGAATCTGCCCACCTCTGAGAGAGAGATGCCTGAGATGTGCATCTCAAAATTACTTGAAATATTTAAACGTCTTCTCTTCCCACTGGCATGATCCGTTGTTGTTTGAGTTCCTCAAGTGACACATCGTTAGGAACACATTCGTCTTGAGTCCCTTCCTGGTGTGAACTAAATAAAATATGTCTGTATTGTCTACCCTGCAGCGATCATATGTACACAGTGGGAGACAGACATATATAATAGAAGAGAAATTTAGAATTCCAGATTCTGTACAACTCAGTTTGCAAAAAAATAATAATTGAAGAATCGGATACAGATATCCAAGTACAGAATGCCAATAGTGAAGGGTGTGTGTGTGTGTGTGTGTGTGTAAATCACTGATTGACTCTTTAGAATTAATGAAAGTGGAGGCTGGATTATTCCCTTATTGTCACTTCCATGTACAGTGGTACCTCGGGTTAAGAACTTAATTCATTTTGGAGGTCCGTTCTTAACCTGAAACTGTTCTTAACCTGAGGTACTACTTTAGCTAATGGGGCCTCCCGCTGCCGCCGCACGATTTCTGTTCTCATCCTGAAGCAAAGTTCTTAACCCAAGGTACTATTTCTGGGTTAGTGGAGTCTGTAACCTGAAGGGTCTGTAACCCGAGGTACCACTGTATTTAAAATGCTTAAATGTGGTGATTGGTACTGACAGTGAAGCAGTTCATGATAGGTGATCTAAATGGCGACATACTTTGTTAAAGTCAGATTGTATTTAGAATACATTATTTACATTATTTGAATGTTAACTATATATATTTGAACTTTTAATAGGTTTTGTGTTGTAATTTTCATAGTAACATTTCAGAGGGGTTTTCATTTTCATTTTCATTTTCAATATGAGAAGCAATAGCTGCTTCTCACCTATATTCAGTGCTATTTTTCTAGAAAAAACAGGTGCCAGAGCTCACTATGGGTGTTATGTACTGAAGTTCTCACCCAGGGCCAGCAGGGGGATACTGTAGATAGTTATGCAAATGAAGGATCGAAAGTGACTTTCAGTGATTGGATAGTTTTAGAAAGTTGTTACAGTAACGTTGTACTGGAGCTCTATATAAGCAGGCTGACTGAACCCTTCAGTTCAGTTCTGTTCTGGCCTGTGAATAAACAAGAGCTGTTTGAAGAATCGCTGTGTCGTCTGATATATTCACCCACAACTTAACAATTAACTTCTCCCTTGTTCTCTTAGAATGGCAATGGTGCCTGCCTGAGAGTTGCCAGAACTGAGTTCCGGCTGGGGGGGGGGGGGAAAGCCCTGCCTATGTCACAGATATTTCTATTAGCACTGAATCCACACAGTAGTTGTAAACATTCTGTATCAGTCGTAACATATGTAATTTCTGTACCTGCCCTTTATATGTTTTCTACCCGGCACCCTCTTAAGTTTTTTACTGCCATGGCTTCCAAGCACATTTTGAAGGGAGGGAAAGTAATCATTGCAATGACATTTATAGAAAAGCAATTTGGCTACACCTGTGAGAGAAACTGCTATGGTGGCATTTACATAAGGTCGTTCCATCTCATAGCCATGGAATACAAACAATAGGGTATTCTGAAGATTTATTTATAAAGAATAATTCGGTTGTGTGCTTCTAGTGATAGCACCCTGGATGCTTTTTCAAGTACAATTCAAAGAGCTGATGACATAGTTGAAATGACACCTTTGATACTGTTACTTGCAGGGTGTACCCAGGTAATGTGCTGCTTTAAAGTGACATGCATTCACTGAGAATAAAACCCAAATAAAACTCGAAATGAACCCTGCTGCTGTCTGTAGAATTCAGATAAGATTTATAGAGATATACAAAACATTTATATTACTTCAAAGATGCAAAGAAATTGCCAATCATCTAATGTAGAAAAATGTAATTTATTAAAACTGCTAGTAAAGGTAAAGGGACCCCTGACCATTAGGTCCAGTCATGACCGACTCTGGGGTTGTGGCGCTCATCTCGCTCTATAGGCCGAGAACCCGGCATACAGCTTCCGGGTTATGTGGCCAGCATGACTAAGCCACTTCTGGCGAACCAGAGCAGTGCACGGAAACGCCGTTTACCTTCCCACCGGAGTGGTACGTATTTATCTACTTGCACTTTGACGTGCTTTTGAACTGCTCGGTTGGCAGGAGCAGGGACCGAGCAATGGGAGTTCACCCCGTCATGGGGATTCGAACCGCCAACCTTCCGATCGGCAAGCCCTAGTCTCTGTGGTTTAACCCACAGCGCCACCCGCATCCCAAAACTGCTATTAGTTTCCTAATAATAATTAGATGGAAGGTGAGTTAGTGTGGTCTAGTCACTAGGGTTATAAGTAGGGAGCTATGATTAGGGAGACCTGGAGGCAAATCTCCAGTCAGCCCTGAAACTCAGCCATGGCCTGTTGCTGGCATCCATCTGTCTCAAGAGACAATGGAGTGTTCCTCCAGGGGTAAAGTCAAACTGCTGTGTTAGCAGCACTGAAGTGACCTCCCTGGGGCGCAAGCCTGGGCAGTGTGTAGGAAGGTCCTGGGGTGCCCAGGTGACAAGACCCTCCTTTCAGCCTTGCTGATGTGGTCCAAAGCATACAAGGAGTACAAGGCACCATCCAACTGTCTTAGGGACTCCAACTCTGGATTTGTGTAGGGCTTACTCTTTAGCCTTTTCTTCTCCCTATCCTGCAAGGTAGCAGACGTTTAGGGTCGGAGTTTTCCTTCTCTTGGATGGTCTACCTTCCCAGGTTGCTAAATTTGTATACTGCTCTTCATCTGTAGATCTCAGGGCGGTTCACAGCATAGAAATACAAGATAAAAACACAAAATATGTAATAGAAACAAGGACAAGACAAACCAATAGCCCCTTCCCTTTGCCCACTCTCTTTAACGTACCTCAGAGTTCTTGTGAGGATAAAATGTATGTCATCAGCTCACTGGAGCATGGATAACCAACATGAAATAAAAGTTTTTCAGCATGCCAGTATTGGTGCCAGTGTTGCTAAGATTCTGAAATGAAAAGAAAAGCCAAAGGAACACTGCCAAATCCAATCATAGCAGTGTTGTCCAACACACTGCAGCGTTGGAACAGGGTTGCACAGGCAGTATAAGGTAACATGAAAGAGAAATGTCTAAAGGATTAAAAAAAGGAAACACACACAATAAAATGGATCCAGAGAAAGAAAAGCATAGGATGAAGATGAACAGACATTTTCCGTAATGTCAGAATTTGGGTAAGCAGCTTTAAACCATATTTTCCTGATTTTAGCATCATGAGAAACTGTGGTTCAGCATTCCACAATATATTTCTCAAAGAGAGCCATGCGGCTCAGGAGAGGGTGACAGAATGTGTGCTCCCACAGATTGCTTGCCCCACCTGCTGCTCCTCTCACTGCTGCTCTCTTCTTCCTTCCACCTCACTATGTGTCAGAGGCGGCCACAGGTATTCCATGCATCATGCTGAGAAAGGGGTACTTTCTGAGAGAAAAATTAAGGGCAAGATCACCCAAAGTGCCAGTACCACTTTGCAACAATGGTGGCAAATTCCTGTAAAGGACCAACCAAGTTTAAAGATCCTTGGGAGCAACCCAGCGCCCCTGGTGGAGAGGAAGCAGCAGTTAGAGGAGCGGGAGGACTGGAAGAAGGACCAACAGTAATGGTGGTTCTAGGAGGCGGTGAATGTTTGCTGTCTAAGGCAAGCCCAGTGTCGTTTCCTGGGTCTGTAGAGAGGTGTACCAAATGAAGGAGGGGAGGGGTGGAGGGGAGTGCATGGCCACAAATCATGGACAATTTTAGATCTGGACCAGATTATGCACTGTGTACAGAAGCGTTTGTTCTCAGAGCAGAAAAACCACTTTGGCCACGCTTAGATGGACACCAGTTACCCCTAGACTTTTATTTTCAAGCCAATGAGTTGCTCTAATAGAAATGGCTTATATACAGTGGTACCTCTGGATACGAACGGGATCCATTCCGGAGTCCAGTTCACATCCTGAAGTAAATGTAAGATGTGACTGCGTGTCTGCGCATGCAAGGGTCGTGTTTCGCTGCTTCCATGCATGCACGTGATTTCATTTTGAGCGTCTGCATCTGCACATGTGCGAGTGGTGAAACCCAGAAGTAAAACACTCCATTACTTCTGGGTCGCCATGGAGCGCAACTCAAAAATATTCATCCCAAAGCTACTTCAACCCGAGGTATGACTGTAATTGGTTTGAAATGGCCGTTTCCCCACTTGTGCATGACTCGGTGTCTTCCTTTTTGCACCCCTTTGTATAATGATCCTGTGTAGATGTAGCTCTTGGTTTCAGCCAGTTGTGGGTATGGGTAAGCGATACTTGTAAATCTAGAAGCTATCCCAATCCGTTTAGAAGGTGTATTTCATTACCCTGATTTCATGCAGTGCCTTGGGGGCCAAGGAGGCATACCTGTATATAAATACAAGTCCAGAAGAAGTAGCTCCAGATGTCTTTCCCTCCTCAAACTTGATGAAAGTAAGTCTTCAATAGCAATAGTCCACAGATCTCTGTTGGTAAAACAATGTCAGAGCATAACCAGCAATTCAGAAAATTCAGGTGGACTATCTCAACTTGTTTCCTTGTCTGCTCTTGAACTACCTTAGCACCCCTCCCTTTAGACATCAAAAGATACAGCTAGATGAGTGGCTTAGAGGTTCATGGTGAAACAGAATTCTGTTTCTTTAACTTATCTCAACCAAGGGGCAAGGCTTCTTCAGTCATAAAGTCTGAGTGAACATATGAAGGCTCAGTAGGGTTCTGTGTCATTCTGCTCTCTAAGAACCATCCTGGTTTCTGTATATTTTGATTCTCCCACCTGATTTCCATCAGTCTACTGACTTGCTACCTTCTTCCATGTATATGTCCATGTTAACCTTGTATTAGGTATCTTTGCAGTTGATAACTGAAGCCCCAGGTGGAACACCTGTGGGCCCCACTCCTCCATGACAGGCAGCAGCAATATGCAGTATTTTAAGTCAGTCCATTCAGTTCACAATGTGTATATATTTACATGATTTAACATACACAAGTGAATAATGGCTAGATTTCTTGCTCTGTTGGAAATACGGCAATCTTAGTTCTATGAGTCAACAAAACTGAATCACCTCCTGTGGGCTGTGGCTGTTGTGAGGAACAAAGGGGGGTGGATTGTAAATGACTATGTAGACTAAAATAGTGCTGTAAAATTATTCATATTGGTTTAAGAAGTGCCTTAATTATGTTATATTTATGAAAGCTCAGGTAACAAATTACACCTTTGCTTACAAAGCCATACAAAATTCTGGATATGTGCAAGTTCAGCCATGGCTTTGGATAAAAGAAGGGAAAACCTGCTGGAACTTAAGCCATCCTATTTGGTATTGCAGGAAAGTAAATGCAATGTGACACATTTGGAAGAAACTTTTTTCTGCCTCCTTCTGCCCAATCTGTTCATTGTTGTTGTTGGAGGAATGTTGGCTTGAAATCTAATTCCTTTTTTTTGGGGGGGGGGTCTAATCTCCAGAGGCAAAAATATGAAATTATTCCACTTGTTCTTGGAACTTATCTCAAAACTGCACAAATAGAGCTCCATTTTTTTCTTTGGGAGAAGAAAAAGAGTTGCTTTTTACAAAGAGAATGAAAAAATATTGAAAAGAATAATAAAAACGGCTTCTTGGAGAGAAAGTGGTTGTTGTGTACCCCAGAACAAAGGATCACACAATTGTTGTGGTCTTGAATACATTGACTTTTGAAAAAAGGAAAGCACCCAAAGAAATAAGTAGGAAATCCCTAGTAAACAGCACAGAGCAAAATGTTCAAAGTATGTAAGTGCCTAGCAGTTATGAGCAATGATGAAAACCAGTGGGATTTTAGGGAGCAGAGAACTGGTGGCTCACTTTGAAAATGTTATTTAGCCTATTGCTAAGATTACTGCTTTTAATCTTCCTCAGCAAGGCAAACACTCATTCGAGCAAATGGAGGTTGTGCTAACAAAGCCCTCTAAGTATCACAGCCTCCAACTGTGTAAAAGTGGAAGTTATAAAAATGCAGATTATTCTTACTAAGAGCAGGACCTAAAATACAATGTTGCATGTATTTGTAGTACACAGACCTCATACCTTCCAACATTTCTCCAATGAAACTAGGGACGTCCTCCTCCTCGTCGTCGTCTTCTATTTATTAACACCCCACCCATTTGATTTGGTTGTCCCAGCCACTCTGGGAGGCTTCCAACATATATTAAAACATTATAAAACATTAAACACTTAAAAACTTCCCTATACAAGGCTGCCTATCTCCTTGGCTCAGGGTCGCATAACTCCCTAGGCTCCAACATTTCTCCAATGAAAATCGGGACATCCTAAGGAAAATCGGGACATTCCGGGATCAAATCAGAAACTGGGATGGTTTCTATAAATCCAGGGCTGTCCCTGGAAAATAGGGACACTTGGAGGGTCTGAGACCTCTGTTTCAGAAAAGTCAGGCCTGCCAACTGAAACGAGAGACTGTTTCAACTGAGCAAGAGAGTGAATGTTGTTCACAGTATTTTGTTGGCATTGAAAGGGCTGCATGTATCCCACTCAACTGTGAACAGTCTATGACCAGTTTTGCTCCTTTCATTAATACCTCAAAATGCCCAAAATGGATGCATGCTTTTCATGGGAGTGATAAAATGTTCAGGAAAAGCAATCCTTTCGCATATCCATTTTGCCTCAGTCCTATCGACTTTTAGTACTTATTCCCCATTTCACATTGACCATCTATTCACATTCTCTGTGTTCTTGCCCATCACATCCAGGACACAGGTGGATTAATAGTTCAGCATTTCAAGAGTCTGAATGGTAGATGCTGAACAGATTGTATGTAATAAATAAATGCTAATATATTTTACTCTGTTAGCAAAATATGCAATCCAGTATTGAGGGTGTGGACTTTGTTTTTCCATTTGTGAGCATAATCTACATGCTTATGGTTAAAACATGAAGGCTTAACTTGTTGAAATGCCATAATTCAACAGTAAGGGCTTCTCTAATGGATATAGTATTAGCCACAGACAGTTAAAAATGACACTGAGAATGCATTCAAAATTCAAAGAAACAAATATAAATGAACATGTGACTATATAATGTTCAAAATGAATCTGCTATATTTCTATAACTGCATTAAAACATTCATATTGGTTGACTTGTCAACACATAAATCTGTGTTATGCTGTATGGTACTTTAAAGTTAGGTGTAGAGTTTCCATTGTGATCTCTACTTAATTTTAAGCCAGCTATGTTTGTCTTTTTATAGTGGGAGATTGTTAATCATATATGCATCAAAGTACAATACCTTTCTTAAAGAATCATACAGTAGAGTCCTTAAGTTGTATTCAAATATAATACAATAAATATGCAAAGGCAATGTGGACACAAAGTCTTGCAGTCATAATGTCAAAAAGCATCACCTCTGCCATCTGCCTTGCAAATATTTCTCTCTCTCCTCCTCCCCCACCCCGCAGGATTAGATTAGGAGAATGACAGGGCCTATTCACTGTCATGTAATAGAGTTGAGTAACTCTTGAATTAAAGTTACTCTTCCACAAACAAGCATTACAAACTGGGAGATAAATGGGATGTTTCTGACATTTTCCCAGAAGTGCATTTAAAACATAGTGAGATGTGTTTTTTCCTCATATGTTGTTGTCTAAACAAAGCTTTGTTAAAGTGTATCTTTCAGAGAATGAAATCCTTTTAAGACAAGGAATATTTTGTAGACTTAGAAGTTAGCACATCAGGTAAGGAACTACAGAATGGGATTAGAGGAAATAAACTGGTGTGCAGTTTATCATTGAAGAAAGGATTGTGGAAATACCATACAATGTATATGCTTTATTAATGAATGCACAACATTTCATCAGAAAGTACATCCCCTTTTCCAACTCTTTAGATTACAATTAGATGGAGGAAACAGGCATTCTCATGATACAGATTTTTATTTTTCATTCACTGTGTTTCAGAGTTCCGGGAATTTGTGTTCCAACTTTTCTTCCCTTTTCTATATAGTTTCAGAACAAGAACATGCACATCTCTTGGCCACAGTTCTGCAGCTCAGTTTTGTCCAAAAAAATGCCAGGGCTGGCTCTCTGTAGAGAAGATTCAAAAGAGGTAGGGACTAATTTTGGAAGTCTGCTGATTGGAGATGTAAGTCTGCTTCCTCTGAACAATGTTGTTCTATTTCCAGCTATTAAATAGTCATTGACAGACCCATTTTCCATGAACTTGTCTGAACCTTTTTAAAGCTTGCTGTGGCCATCACAACTTCCTGTGGAAATGAATTCCTCAAATTAATTATTGTCTACATTAAGAAATCAAGCACCCGATCAATAAACCCGCTTATCTGTCAATTGAAGTAGAGGAAATTATTGGTCCTGTTCCATTGTCTTTGATGGCACTTGGTCTGCATGAGGAGCCTAGGGTTAAGACATACTTATGCAGATATTTTAACAGCCTTAGTCTCTACAGTCCTATAAGTAATGGAGTTTTTTTGCCTTGTTGAAAGCAGCATTGCTATAATCAGAGGAAGCTGGAGTTTAGCAGACTCTGCATGCCTGCTTTTAGCTCAATACTCTAAAGCAAGCTACCTTTTTAACAGGATATCATCTCCTGACAATTTACTGCTAATATATATTTATACCCTGCTTTAGAGTGATTTATTCAGTGTGGGAAGAAATAGCCACAGCCAGGTTTTATGTGCTGCACTAATCTGTGTCAGAATAGCTGAACTAAAAGGCCAACGTAGGTCAGAAACGAAAGGGAAAGAATCATAAAACATATTCAGGGATGATGTGACACCTATCAGATCTTTATATTACCAAATAATTAATGATATGTAAAGAGAATGGCTGAAAGTATGTTATTCTTTCACCCTCAAAACTCTATAATTTTGGGCACTGATGAAATTCAGGACAGCCTAAATTTATGGTTTGGAATAGGTAAGAAGAAGCATTCCTTATATTAGACAAAATTAGCTGCAAAAGAATCTGAGGAACATTGGGATTATAGTGGGATTACAGTGGTACCTTGGGTTACAGATGCTTCAGGTTACAGACGCCGCTAACCCAGAAATAGTACCTTGGGTTAAGAACTTTGCTTCAAGATGAGAAGAGAAATCGTGCGGCGGCGGTGGGGGGAGGCCCCATTAGCTAAAGTGGTACCTCTGGTAAAGAGCAGTTTCAAGTTAAGAATAGACCTCCAGAACAAATTTAGTTCTTAACCAGAGGTACCACTGTATAGACTCTCGAAGCAAGAAGGGCCAATAAATTTATCCAGTGGGTTAAAGGAAAGGCAAATATTCAGGGCCACTTGTCCATGTGATGTGCAAGAGAAATTCCTTTGAATCACAATATGGTAATTGGTGAGACCTGAACTCTGTCGTTAACACTGAGCACCTCAAGCTTGATCATGTGTTCAGGACCAATTGGTCTAAACAAGTGCCTGTGGCAACCCTTCAAAGCCTGTTGAAGATCTTTTTTATTATTCAGACA